AAGTTTCACACCAGCTTCAGTCCTAAAATCTATTGTATTTTTTGGCAGACGTTGAAAGATGGACAAAAATTCTCATTCATATTGCTGTATGTTTCTAACATTTGAATTCAGTTTTACTATAAGAGCAAATCAAAATAAAAATGTAGTAAAAACTTAGGTCTATATAGGGAGAGAACATTTATTTATTTATTTATTTATTTTTAAAAGATGACCGGTAAGGGGATCTTAACCCTTGACTTGGTGTTGTCAGCACCATGCTCAGCCAGTGAGCGAACCGGCCATCCCTATATGGGATCCGAACCCAGGGCCCTGGTGTTATCAGCACCACACTCTCCCAAGTGAGCCACGGGCCAGCCCGGGAGAGAACATTTAAAATGAGGCTGGTAGCTTCATTGGTTTTTTAATATGATGTGATTGTCAGAGCTCACGTCTTTGTGTTCACCTGAGAGTTTGGACCTTGTAGAATCCTTTTAGATGTGTCAAAAATTTTAATCAAAGTTAAAACCTATATATGAGTGTACCTAGGAAGGAAATTGTGTATCTGTCCTTAATGACTTATGAAAACCTTCAGGTTTTATTTATTTATTTATTTTTTTCCTTTTTTGTCTTTTTTCGTGCCCGGCAACGGATCGCAACCCTCAGTGTCGCGCCCGTACTGGACCGGGACCGGCAACGGGATCGCAACCCTCGGTGTTGCGCCCGCATCTCGCTCAGCCAGTGAGCGGCCGGTCTGTATGTGGGATCCGAACCCTTGGCAGGAGAGCCGCTGCGCTCCCAAGCAGCGCACTGTAGCAGTGCGCCACCGGGCCGGCCCCACCCTTCAGGTTTTATACTTAGACAAATGAGATAATGAGGCTAGCCAGTTAGCCCAGTTGTTAGAGCGCGGTGCTGATAACACCAAGGTCCCTATACTGGCCATCTGCCAAAAAGAAGCAGCTAATGCATATGAACATACTTTATAAACTGTAAAGAACTATAGAGATTTATATATTACAAACTATTGTAATTCTTTCATAGAATTACATGCTTTTTTCGTATAACACCGTTTCCTTTTTTTTAAACTTAGAAATTCCAAATAAATGTGATAAATATTTATCAGTGCCTAATATGTGCCAATGAAGGCCCTGTTAAAAATTTGAATGCTTATCGTTCTATTTAAATAGAATATCTGTCTATTTAAATGTTGCTTGTTACAATCTCTCTTTTTAAAAGTATAGAAGTCATAATGAAAACAATCTCTTTGTAAAAGATTCAAGGATGCCAAAGTATATAGGTAAAAATGAGAAAGGCCGTCTCTAATACCGCTTCTCTTTCCCTCTCCAGAGTTAGCCAGCATTTGGGATATACTTCTGTAATTTGTTTTCTTTATATTTTTACATTCACATACACTTGTGCTATTAAAAAAAAAATGAACATTAATGGAATTGCACTACACTTTACATTTTTTACTTGCCAGTATGTCTTGAGCAGCTTTTCATGTCAGCACGTGTAAGTCCCCTTCATTATTTTGGACAAATGCACAGTATTCGAGAATATGAGGATACTCCAAAAAGTTCATGGAAAGATGGAATTGAAAAATAATACAAACCTTTTGGGCCGGCCCAGTGGCGCACTCGGTAGAGTGCGGCGCTTGGGAGCGCGGTGGCGCTCCCGCCGAGGGTTCGGATCCCATATAGAGACTGGCCCGCTCACTGGTTGAGCGCGGTGCAGGCGCGACACCGAGGGTTGCGATCCCGTTACCGGTCACGAAAAAAGACAAAAAGGAAAAAAAAATAATGATACAAACCTTTTTAATGAACTTTTTGAAGTACCCTCATATTACCACATAATTTAAAATGTGAGATCCATAAGAGCAGGCACCTTGTCTGTTTTATTTACTGCTATGTCTCTAGTTCCTAGAACAGTGCTTGGTATATAGTAGGTACTCAGTAAATATAATAAATGAATGAATAATTTATTTAACATATAGATTATTTCTGGTTATGGCTATTAAAGATCATGCTGTTGTGAAAATGCTCTCCTGTGCCTCCCTGTGTACGTAAGGGAGTCATTTTCTAGGGGAGATATCCAGACTTTTTTTGAAAACATGCTTTTATCATCTTCTAGTTTCTAGTGTTGCCAGTGAGAGGTATCATAGCAGTCATATTCTGGTTTCTTTGCAGGCAACCTGTTTTTGTCTTTTAGAAAGGTTCCAAGACTTACTCTTCATGTTTGGTGCTCCGAAAATTTACAGCAGTGTGTCTAGACACATGAGATTCTTTCTTGGGTTTCTTTCTATTTATCCCGATCTGCATTTGTTGAACCCTTTCAACTGCAAAGACACACCTTTCTTAAGCTGTGGGAGATTTATTTCTTTTCTGTCTTATATTGTTTCTTCTTTATCATTCTTTTTGTTCTGTCCTTCTGAGAATCCTATTAGATCAGTGTTAAAACTTCTAGATATATCTTCCATGCTTTTTAATCTTTTTCTCTTACTTTCTTTTTTTTTTTTTTTTTTTTCCTTTTTTGTCTTTTTTCGTGACTGGTAAGGGGATCACAACCCTCGGTGTCGCGCCCATACTGCAACCGGCAATGGGATCGCAACCCTCGGTGTTGCGCCTCCACCGCGCTCAACCAGTGAGCAGACCGGTCTCTATGTGGGATCCGAACCCTCGGCGGGAGCGCCACCGCGCTCCCAAGCACCGCACTCTACTGAGTGCACCACCGGGCCGGCCCTCTCTCTTACTTTCTGTCATTTCATAGGATTTGGTTCAGGAAGGGAGAAAAATAAATGTGTTGTTTGCCATCTTCATCCAGTTTCCTGATATAGTTCTTTATATCCCATAAGGCTGACTTTTTTTTTTTTTTTTTTTTTTGGTCTGTCATTTTATTTGTCTCAGTCTGTTCCTAAAGGAACATGACTCATATTTTATAATGATCAATGGAAGATTGATATTTGCTTAACATACTTTTGTTTCATAGTCAGCCTTTTTTAGAAGATGTCTTTTTTTTTTTTTAAACCATGATACCAATTTAAAAATTAGACTCTCTTGCATTGTGCTATTGGTAAGGAGCCCAGTCACATTAAAAAATGTGTTGGTATCTTAATCACTCATCAGGTCTAGGCAGCTCCAAGTGCTGATAAAGACCTTGATGCTTCTCCAGATGTCTTAGTGTTAGCTCCAGGTTCACTAAGCAGAATATTTGGAGCTGCTACATAGATTCTCAAGCACAAAGTATGAGTACAACTCAAAGTCTGGGTCCCTGGTCTCCTAGAGTAATGGTTCTTAAACCCTGTTCAGTATCAGAATCACCTGTGGCACTTTATAAAACTTTAAATGCCTGGGCCCTCTACTGGACTTGTTAAATCAAAATCCTGAGGGGGTGGGGCTGAGCATCTCTATGTCTTTAAAGGCTCTAGAAGTTATTCTGATGGGCACCCAAGGATGAGAACCATTGCTGTAATCCTCTGTATTTTCCTTGTATATGTATTTTTCACTGTTCTTACCCTCTGGATCTGTTTTCTGTTAACTCATGCCTCACTTTTTAAAAAATGGCTATACAGTTTTCTTTGGGACAGATGTGTTGTAATTTACTTAACTGATCCCCTGTTGGTGGACATTTAATATGCTTCCAGTCTTTTGTTATTAGCAATTAGTGTAGCAGGGCCGGCCCGTGGCTCACTCAAGAGAGTGTGGTGCTGATAACACCAAGGCCATGGGTTCGGATCCCATATAGGGAATGGCTGGTTTGCTCACTGGCTGAGCGTGGTGCTGACAACACCAAGTCAAGGGTTAAGATCCCCTTACCGGTCATCTTTTAAAAAAAAAAAAAGAAAAGAAATTACTGTAGCAGATATCCTTGTACATACAACTTTGTCCACATTTGTGAATATATTTATGGGATAAGTTCCTAGAAGTAGAATTGTGAAGACAAATGGCATATATATTTGTCAATTTCAGGATATTTTTGTTTGTTTTCAATTTTTTTATTATGTTAAAGTGTATATAACATTAAATTTACTATAACCATTTTTAAGTGGTTCACAGTTGAGTGGTATTACATACATTCATAATTTTGTACAATCATTACTACCATCCATCTCCAGAACTCTTTTTATCCTATAAAACTGAAACTCTTTATCCATAAACAATAACTCCCCATTCCCCTCACCCCCAACCTCTGGCAACCACCATTCTACCATCTGTCTCTGAGTTTGACTACTCTACGTACCACATATAAGTGGAATCATATAGTATTGGTCTTTTGTGACTGGCTCATTTCATTTAACATGATGTCCTTGAGGTTCCATGTTGTAGCGTATGTCAGAATTTCTTTCCTTTGTAAGGCTGGATAATATTTCATTGTATGTATATACCACATTTTTCTTATCCATTCATCAGTCAGTGGACACTTGAATTGCTTCCACATTTTAGTTACTGTGAATAATGCTGCTGTGAATATTGGTGTGCAAATATTTCTTCAAGACCCTGCTTTCAGTTCTTTGGGGTATATACCCAGAAGTGGAATTGCTACATCATATGGTAGCCCTATGTTTAATATTTTGAGGACTCACTATACTGTTTTCGACAGGAATTGTACCATTTTACATTCCCACCAATAGAGCGCAAGGGTTCCAATTTTTCCACATCCTCATCAGCACTTATTATTTTGTTTTTTGGTAGTAGCCATTCTAGTTGGTATGAGGTAAAATCTCATTGTAGTTTTGATTTGCATTTCCCTCATGATTAGTGGAGCACCTTTTCTTGTGCTTATTGGCCATTTGTGTACCTTCTTTGGAGAAATGTCTATTCAAGTCCTTTACCCATTTTTGAGTTGGGTTGTTTGTTTGTTGTTGAATTTTAGGAGTTCTCTATATGTCCTGGATATTAATCCTTTATCATATATGTGATTTGCAAATATTTGAGAATTTTTTATCTGTGAAAATATGCTTTTAATCCTCAGGTGAAAATATTCTTGAATCTTAGAATTCCTTACATTTTGTTTTCATTTCTTCTTAGGCCAGTACTAAAGTGGAAGTGGACATGGAGAAAGCAGAGAGCCTACAGGTGACAAGAGGAGACTTCCTTGCTTCTTTGGAGAATGACATCAAACCAGTAAGTATGCATACTGAGTAATTTATAGGCCAAAAAAATTAATAATAATCCAAGAGAAAAATAAGGGCCATGTCACCCGGTGTTGCAGAAAGTCATATCATATGTAGTTTTACAAAATGGGACAATCTTAGTATTGGAAGTGTCTGATATAAGAAACGGTAACCCAGATGGCTTGGTGATTTACCAATACTTACCTAAATATTTCTCACGATAGGGAACTTACCATCTTATAAGGCAGCCCATTCAATTTTGAGGCTTTATTTTTTCTAGTTCAATATAAAGTAAGAATAAATTCTTCTTTAATTAATAAATTCTAGAATTCGTTTTCTTATTGGTTCTTATATAATCTCAAGCTACAGAAACCTAAATTCAGCCCATCCCCCATATGTCAGTAATGATATTTCAAATTAACTCTCATATTCTTCTCTCTCTCTCTTTCTCTACCTTTCCCCAACCTCCTGCAAGCATTCCTTTTTCTTGCTCAATACCTCTAGTTCCTCTGACTGCTATACTAAGACAATTACCCATCCTAGGTACCCTTTTTTAAAAAAAGTGTCAGTTTCCCTAAAATGTACTCAAAACAGTCATAGTTGGAGCTTTAGAATACAATATAAGGTCATTAACCCATTTTTCTATAAAACAACCACTAACGTTTGAGTAACCGTTGTTTGGAGTACAAAACAAACTATATTTCTCTTTAAGAAAGGCTCAGTTTTAAAGAGGTGTGTTCTTCTTAAATGGACTTCAGGTGCACAGAATTAGATTAATAATCTTTAATTCATGACACACTGTTGTTATTAGTCTATAATACATGGTATGTAAAATAAAAGGTATATTTAATTTTCTGGGACTTGCTATTTTGTTAAATATTTTATTACCAAGAGTCATCCATATGATTTCCTGTAGCTATACATCATTCATTTTTATTACTAAATAGCATTCCATTGTGTGACTACCACAATTTATCTGTTTTCCTGTCGATGGGCATTTGGAATGTTATCAGTTTTTTGTTATTACAAACAAGTGCTGTTGTAAGCATTCTTGAATGAGTTTCTCTTTGATATATATTGAGGAATAAAATTGCTGTGGAGTTGGATGTATGAATGTTCAACTATAAAAGATAATTTCAAACTTCCCAATTAATACTGCCCCCAATAATGTAAAGAGATCCTCTTGCTCTAAATCCTGTCTAACACTTGGTGTTGTCAGACTTAATTTTTGCCATTCAGTTGGAGGTTCTCTGGGATCTCGTTTTGGTTTTGATTTGCATTTCACTGATTACTTATGAAGTTAAGCATTTCTTCAAGTATGTTTATTGGACATGTGTGTTTTCTGTGAAATCCTGTTTAAATATTTTGCCTATTTTTCTTTTGTGTTGTTTATTCTTTTATTTTTATTTGATCTGTACAAGTTCTTTATATATTATTTTTTTCTCAATTTTTTATTGTGTTATGTTAAAATACACATAACATAAAATTTACCATCTTAAGCATTCTTAAGTTTACAGTTTGGTGATATTAAATACATTCATAATATTGTGCAACCATCACCTCCAACAATCTCCAGAACTGTTTTCATTAGGTAAAACTGAAACTGTACCCACTAAACAATAACTCCCCATTCCCCTCTCCTCCAGCTCAGCAACCAACCACCATTGTCTTTCTCTATGAATTTGACTACCCTAAGTACCTCATATAAGTGGAGTCATACAGTATTTTTCTTTTTGTGACTGGTATTTCACTTAGCATAATGGAAAGTTCAGCTACATTGCAACATATGTCAGAATTTCTTTTTAAAGTCTGAATAGTATTCCATTATATGTGTGAATACTTCAAAAAGTTCTTGGAAACATTCATATTACTTTTTTTTTTTTTCTTTTTGTCTTTTTTCATGACTGGTAACGGGATCGCAACCCTCGGTGTTGCGCCCGTACCGCGACCAGCAACGGGATCGCAACCCTCGGTGTCGCGCCCGCACCACGCTCAACCAGTGAGTGGACCGGTCTCTGTATGGGATCCGAACCCTCGGCGGCGCCTGCTGCGCTCCCAAGCGCCGCACTCTACCGAGTGCGCCACCGGGCCAGCCCTTCATATTACTTTTTAATTCTGTTTTTCCACGAACTTTCTAAAGTACCTATATACCATATTTTGCTCATCCATTCGTCAGTGGACACTTGGGTTGCTTCCACATTTTAGCTATTGTGAATAATGCTGCTATAAACATGGTTGTACAAATATCACATAAAACCCTGTTTCAATTCTTTTGGGTATATACCCAGAAGTGGAATTGTTACATCAAATGGTAATTTTATGTTTAATATTTTGAGGAACTGCCAAACTGTTTTCCACAGGGGCTGTACCATTTCACATTCCTACCAACAGTGCACAAGTGTTCCAGTTTCCCCTCATACTTGCCAATACTTTTTCAGTTTTTTTTGGTAGTAGCCATCCTAATGGGTATGAGGTAAAATCTCATTGTAGTTTTGATTTGCATTTCCCTAATGATGAGTGTTGAGCATCTTTTGATATGCTTTTGGCCATTTGTTATATATTCTTGACAATAATTATTTGTTGTTAGTATGTTAAAGACAAAAATCAATTTGTGTTAGCCCTGTCTTCTTTTTAATGACTATTTTGACTTTTAAATATAAAATACTTTCAAAAGTTTCTGAGCAATAGAAATGGTTTAATCTTTTGCTGTTGTCATTTGTACTAGTTACCAAAAATGTTACAGCCTGGACTAACCAATCTATTCCAAAGTGGTTTTTTTAAAGACAAATAATTTGACTGTGAGGAAGTGAGAACTAAAAACTTATTTATTCCAAGGGTCTGCAGGATAAAACAGAAAATGCAGTGATAGGATATGTAAGGAAGAAATACATATTGTGTAGCACGAGAGACTCACTATTTTATGGTTCAGGCATGTTAAAGCTTCTGCTGTGAGGCATGGACTATATAGTTGGAACAAAAGCCACCCAAACTACATATTTCCCAGAACAGACATTCAACTAGTATTTATTAGGCTCTTCCTTTATAACTTTTTACAGTGCCACTGAATTTGCCATGTCCAAGCCAAAGAATGAGGATTTTCCTCTGTATTCAGGAATCAAAGGACTAGTATATACAAGGATACTACCTACCCAAAGAATGGTCTGAAAAATTATTTTGTGGAAAAGTAATAGAGACATGAGACTACTGGATACTGTTGCAGAGACAGTATTACAAAAATGACTTTCTGTGAGGTGTAACTTCTAAAGAACTGTTAAAATTATTCCATACTTCAGGTAATTAAAAATTGACTTTTTGAGAGAGATGATAATCTTTAAAAAGTTGAAATTCTCAAGATACAAGAGCACTTCAAAAAGTTCATAGAAAAATAGAATTAAAAAATAATACAAATCTTTCCATGAACTTTTTGAAGTACCCTCATACATGACCTTTACATGTACATTGGGTTATGTTTTTCTACTCATTTATTCTCCTGTTAATCTTATGAAAATCCAATTCAATTGTAAGTTCTAAAGTTATTTACTATTTTTGGCAGCTGTTTTGATGGAAGTTATTATCTTTGAAATTAGAAGTTGAAAGTGAAGAGGGATGTGATTTAAGCTCCAATATGTAGTGAAGTCAAATAAAATTATTATGTATAGTAATAGCTTTTATTTCCTTTTTATGACCTTTCAATCTTTCATTACAGCTGCTCATTTCTATCTCATTCTAAATCTTATTTTACACACAGGGGTCTTCAAAAAGTTCATAAAAGGATTCATAATATCTTTTAATTCAATTTTTCTAGGAACTTTTTGAAGTACCCTCATATACTTACTTTGGTGCCATTTAACTTATTTGATGTGGACATGATCTTATTACCATTTCATATTCTTATTTTAATTCACAGCACCTATAGTTAGTGTTAGGATAGTACCTTTGTCTGGGAGCTAACTGTTTCTCATTTCTAAGTCCATAATCTCTTTTTCTCTTTGTTCTTAACAGAGTGGCTACAACCTGCATACTGTTTATAGAAACAAGCATGTTGGAACATACTCTTTCTCTCAGGGATTATGAGGGTTTGAGCTCTGGTAGAATCTGAGCCTAGAATCCATTGTTTTTATTTCATTAAGTCACCCAAAGCAGCTTTTTTTTTTTTTTTTCTCTTATTGGATAAAATGTTACACGAGAAATTATAAAACAATTATTTGCTTTTCAAGTTTTTTACATTAATATGAGATAGTGCTCAACACTTTTACTCACCTTTTATATCTTTAAATATTTCAGTTTTTAATACTGATGCTCAAAATGCTTTAAACTGTCCTTTTCCTCAATAGGCATTTGGCACAAACCAAGAGGATTATGCAAGTTACATTATGAATGGTATCATCAAATGGGGTGACCCAGTCACTCGAGTTCTAGATGATGGGGAACTGCTGGTTCAGCAGACTAAAAACAGTGACCGCACACCACTGGTTAGCGTCCTTCTGGAAGGTGAGAAAGAATGATGAGATGGCATTAAAAGTAAAAAAAAAAGCACCTAAGAAAAAAACATTTAGCACAGTCCAGAAAAGGGAATTCTTTTCAGTTCTAAACCTTGTTCATGATCTGAAAATAGTGATCTAGTCTGTGTACCAGTATTGAGTACAAATTAAAATTTTCTTGGGATGAAATGTTACAGATGAATAATAGCCACTAGTTTTCTTGTAGGATTGTATCTAAATTTCTGTGGTACTTAATAGACTGACTGATACCACATAGCACATGATTCCATTAAATATTTATTGAGTACTTGCTATATTTTAAGACATCGAACTTGTGGCTGGGGATACAAAGACACTCAGGCTTTCAGTCTAGTCATAAAAAACAACGTGTAAAGAAATTCCTAACTGTGTCATGTACAAGAGTCCTTCAAAAAGTTCATGGAAAGATTCATATTATCTTTAAATTCCATTTTTCCACAAACTTTTTGAAGTACCCTCATATGTGTAAAGGTGTGTGTGAATGCAAGTCATTTTGTTTAGGGGTGGTCAGGGAAGGCTGGATGTTGAATTTAGGCCTTGAAGGATTAGTTAGGATTTTATCAAACAGACAAAAAGGGAAGGACATGCCATTCACAAATAATTAATTTGCAGTTATGATTTGTATGACAACAGAAAAGTTCAGTGAGGCTACACGATAGGAACCTAACCCCTTCCAAAGGTCTGGGGGTGAGGTCTCCCTGAGAGAAATGCATTAAGCCAAGACCTGCAGGATGGGGAGAAGCTGGCCAAGCAGAGTAATTGGGCAAGATGTGCTAGGCAGGGACTGGCATGTGAAAAAGCCCTAGGCAGAAAGGAGCTTGAAACAGAAAGAAAGATTAGCTAGACATGAAACTGACGAAGTACACAGGATCCAGTTCACGCAAAACCTTGTAGGCTATGTGAAAGATTTAGACTGTTTCTGAGGAGCAATGAGAAACCATTTGGGGGGTTTTAAGCAGTGACATCACATGATCAGATTTTTATTTTCAAAACATTGTCATGACTGCTTTATGATGGAGCATGGATTAGAGGTGCAAAAAGGTATAAGACTATGAGATTAATGGTCAGAAGCAGTTGCGTTAGTCTTAATGAGAGCTGACTGTGGTTTGAAGTAATGTGGCGGAAGTGGAGATGAAGATAAGTAGACTAATTTGAAAAATAGGAGGTAAAATTAAAAAGACTTAATAATCATGACTACTAGTTACCAATCATAATTAAGTGGACATTCTTTGAGTCCTTACTATTTGCCAGTTACTCTGCTAGCACTTTACACATATCATCTCATTTAAACCCTACTTCAGGGCTGGCTGGTTAGCTCAGTTGGTTAGAGCACAGTGTTGTAACAGCAAGGTCAAGGGTTTGGATCCCTGTACCAGCCAGCTGCCAAAAAATAAATAAATAAATAAACTTTACTTCAATCCTGTGAGGGATGATACTAGTTATCCCTATTTTGTAGATGGAGAAGCTTAAACTTCAAATATTGACTACGTTGAATGTGGGAAGAGGTATCAAACATGACCCCCAGGTTTCTGGCATGTATGGCCTGGTAAATGGCACTGAGATTGGGAGCACTAGTGGGAAAGCAGATTTCAGGAAGAAAGTTCATGAATTCGGTTTTGAACATATTAAATTCGAGGTTCCTATAGGATAATTAAATTGGAGATATTGAGTATCCTGTTGGTTACGCGGGTCTGGTGCTCCCAAGAGAGGTCTGGCTGACAGTAGATCCATGGAAGCCATGAGAGTGGATGAAGTCACTTACAGAAAGAGTGTGCATTGAGATGAAAAGGGCCCTAGAACTTCTCTCTGAGGCATGTTAACATGTAAGGTTTAAATAGAGCAGGAAGAGTTGACAAAGGAGACTGAGCAAGAGCAACCCGGTGAGGTAAGGAGGGGAGAGAATGTGCTACCACAGAAGCCAAGAAAATTATTCAAGAAAGAAGGGAGTTGTCAATTGTATCAAGTGCTCCTAAGAGGCCAAGAACGATGAAGAATCTGTTGGGTTTGGTGACATGGAGGTCATTGTTAACCTTGACGAGACTAGAAGCCAGCCATAAGTTTTGGTGAGGATGGGTGGGAAGTGAAGAATAAATACAGCCAGTGTAGATAATTATTTAGGGAAGTTCCATTTTGAAAGGAGAAGAAAAGGTAGTGTTGAGGGGTATGAAGTCGAGAAAGAATTTTTGTTGTTGTTTGTTAAACTGTCCGAGCATGTTTAAATGCTGTTGAAAAGGCTTCAGGGAACAGAAAGAGGTTGAACATATGAGAGAGAGGAACAATCAATAATGTCAGGTTCCTGAGATGATGGGAGGGAAGAATTGGTTCATTTATGGTTGGAAGAGGGACACATCTTCCAGTACACAGAAGGGAAGGGAGGGGATGTCTAAATGCAGGTAAGATTATAGATTTTGTTGTCTTTATGAGAAGGCCTGAGTCTTTAGAATTCTAGCTTTTAAGTCACATTTGCTTCTAATAAGGCTGTTTCCCTCTGCCCCCAATATCATATCCTAAGAAGATTGTATTTTTTTGTGAGACAAATGATTTGATAGAACTAATAATATAAGTATGATATACATTTGAATGCATTTTCTCTTTTTTTTTAAAAGAAACAAAACCTTTGCACTTTATGTACAAGGGCACTTCAAAAAGTTCATGGAAAGATTCATATTCCAGTTCTATTTTTCCACAGACTTTTTGAAGTACCCTCATATTTAGCCAGAAGTTTGAAAGATTAAGGCTGTGTGAGAAAGTAGAAAGACATGTATTTCACCATACTTTTAAGAAATGCTAATCAGTTCATTAACTTTAGTTGCTAATAAATAAGAGAAAACATGTCTGCCGTGAAATTGTGTCAGGAAATGTTAATGAGCAACTAGTTGAGACCTCAGTACATTGTGGATAAAAGTTTAAACTTGTTTTATTCCCTTTTGCTTAGGTTGGCTTTTTTCCCCTGACTTGCTCATATCTTTATGCAGGCCCTCCTCATAGTGGCAAGACTGCTTTAGCTGCACAGATTGCAGAGGAATCCAACTTCCCCTTCATCAAGATCTGTTCTCCTGATAAGATGATTGGCTTTTCTGAGACAGCCAAGTGTCAGGCTATGAAGAAGGTATCAAGATTTTTACTTTCATTTTAATTTCCTGTCTCTTGAGTGTGTGTGTGTGTGTGTGTGTGTGTGCGCGCGCGCGCGTGCGCACATGTACATATATATCTACCTTTGTACATATGTATGTATATAAAACCTGTAGCAACTATGTTCTTCTCAAATGGAACTAAATTATCAGCAGAATTTGCAGGGAAACAGTGACTGTTTTAGATTTTTTTAACTTTGTACGCATATTTAGTAAGAGTAGCTTTACCTTCCAAATTATGCTTTGGGCTGGCCTATTAGCTCAGTTGGTTAGAGTGTGGTACTGATAACAACAAGGTCCACGGTTCAATCCCTGTATCAGCCATCCACCAAAAAAACCCACAAAACTAAATTATGCTTTGTTTAGTACATATTAATTTTCACTTATTATATTTTTACCAACTTGATTAAAAAGAAGGATCATAGTTAAGAGTGTCTGGGTAGAGTGGAATAAATTTATTTAGGGTTTTTTTTGGTTGTTGTTCTTTCATTAATGTACAGAGTTGAAGTGTTTGGGGTCAACTATGTTGACTATATAGTTTGAGAAAGAACAGAGATATATCATTGAGAAGATAGTATTTCCAAGAACCCCTACAAAAGGATAATTGTATATTGGGTAATAACTAGAGTCTGCTTGGCAACTTAATGCAGTACTCATCCTTTTTCCTTTCTCCAAGTGCCATTTGTCTCATTCTTAATAGGACCACTTTGAGCCATCAGTGAAGTTAAAACAGTGTAGAATAGAATCTTAGAGCCAAAAAGACTGCAGGATCATCTGGTCCATCTCACTTACATTCAAGCAGGTACAATGTAAGGCCTCTGGAGTAGTAGTTGGCTGCTCTTAAAAACAGTAGCAATGACAAAATCAATAATGAAGACTCTTAATGGCTATTTCATCTCACTCAGCCAATATTTCCATTGGTATTCTAATTTTGCGTACTCCCAGACAATGAAGAAATTATTTTTTATATCCAGCTGAGGTGTTTCTTTACTTTTTTTTCCATGCTTGATCTTTTATAGATACGAACTGACTGTAAGTTAAAGAGATGTGGGAAAATCAGAATCAGGGAAAAGAATCTTGAGAACTGAAGGGCTACCTAGTAAAGACAACTCAAGGTGTTCTTTTACCTTGCTTCTTAGGCACTCACTTTATAAAGATGTAGGATAGGATTACTTCAATTTTCATTTAGGAAAGGGACTGAAGAGGAAAAATATATTTAAAAAGAAGCAGACTTCCAAAAAATATAAGCGTGAGAAATTAGTCTCATTTGTGCAAGTGTCAGAAAATTGTTTGTGTAGAGTGCTTGGAATGGATGGAGGGAAGCAGAGCTTGTAGCAGGGCTACAGCCATGCACACTGAAATGTCAGGATGAATACTTTGTATAAGGATCTTTGAAACTGAGTGTGAAAGAGAGACACGAAAAGAATTTAGAATATCATAGTCAGTTTGTTCTATTTCTGAGGTGAAACCTGTAGTATCTATCCTTCCCAGAAAAATCTGAATAAAATAACTAGGACTAGCAACTTCCCTAGAGTAGGTTGGGGCTGTTTTTCTTTGTTTTTTGTTTTCTCTCTTAAGAGAACCCTTAAGCCACTTCTTCTCGTGAAAATTTAAATAACAGCCCTTGGAATCTATAGCCACTGAACTGCCCATTTAATTATTGAATAGCTGATTCTATTTGCATTTCCCTAAATTGTCTATTCCTATACTCGTTCAAAAGTAGTAGTCTCTGTGCAGATGGTAAATTACTCCATTGCCTTTCGCCAGCTGCCAGTTTCTACCTCAGATGTGTTCTGAGATGTGGGTGGATGGTCCTAGTTTTTCTATAAAGTTTTTAAAAAGTACTTAAGGCTTCTGCAGATCAAAGCTGCTTTGTAAGTGTGAGATATTATCATTTTTATTATTTTAATCTCTTGCAAATTGACTTGGGGGGAAGGTAATGTATGCTGATTTTAGAGGCTTAACTGGTTAAATTAATGACTTAATAACTTATGATTTAATCTTTAAATTGTTGAAGCCTTTCAAGGTAGAGTTTTAGATGAGTAGAAGGCTATGGAATATAAAAATAAGTGTCTATACAAGCTTATTCAAAATTGTTTCGATTCATGATTCACTGTCTGGATCATCCATGTGCTCTTAAATTTACAAAAATTATTTCTGCTTCAGCAGTATAACTTCATATTAGACTTTCTGGTTTTCCTTGGGGAGAAATATTGTTCCCTGTAACTAAAGTTCACAACAGAGAAAAGAATGAAGCATAGGTGTCTTAGAAATATATGAGAAATATTACAAAATCGTTCCCTGCAAATAGTTTTCACATTGTTACCTAATGATAGGTTGACAAAAGCCTGAGGGCTCAAACCAGTCTAAAGATGCTAAGTCTTCCAGGTTGTTTTTGAAAATGAAGCATAAATGTCATTCTGTAATAGTTCTAGTCTACCTCTCACCACTATTTTTGTCCCTTCATTTTTAGTGTAAGGAGGGGAAGATGTTTTAATTTGTTTTTCAGAGCACAAATAATTTATCATCTTTTATCATTCTGGAAAAAACATTTCTTTCCTTGTAAGTGCTCTCCCCACTCCCCAAAAATGTAGATTTTCCTAATTACAAAAATAATTGAGTAAATATAAAAAAGAATGTAGAAGAAAATAAAAATAAATTCATACTTGTACTTGTCCTTGAATTTTCTTTTCTACTCAGAAACCAACACACATTATATATGGGGGATCACATTGGACATACGGTTTTAAACCTGCTTTTTTCACTTAAAATATTATGAACTTTTTCTGTCACTAAAACTTATCTTAATGCTATGTTAAATTAATAGCTGTATAATATTCATTTAAACAATTCCTTTCTGTTGGACCTGTAGGTTGTTTACAGGTTTTTTCACAATTATAAATAATATTTTATAGAACTACCAAACTAGGGAAATTACTGCCCCTCATTTTCTTAATAAATTTTTCTTAGAATACTATCATATGACTGTGAACTTAGGTTTAGGATTTAAATAGATTGGAATTTGAATCCCAGCTCTACCACATTTACCAGTTCTGTGGCACTGGATAAGTCACTTAACCTGTAACAGATATTAGTAGCTGCCTCATGGGGTTATTATGAGAACTAAATAAGGTGCTAATTTATGTAAAGTATTACACAGTACCTGGGACATAATAAGTACTCAATAAAGTGTAGTGGTTATTTTTACTTATTGCTATTTCTGATTATTTCCTTAAGATAAATTCTCAGAAATGGGATTGCTAAGGTAAAAATACTAGTATTTTAGAGATTTTTGATACACATTGCTATCAAAACTCTTATATAAAAATATTAATGATTAATAAAGCCCACCCCTTCAAAAAGTGATCCTAATTTACACTTGTATGCCCATCATATGAGAATATGAGTTTCTTGGGATTCTCACCCACACTTGATGTTATTACAATATTTTTTTGCCAATTTGATAAGCAAAAGGTTGGCATTTAATTATTTCCTTAGCTACATTTTAATGACTTAAATGCTCAATTTTAAAGATTTTTCAAAATGTTTTGCTGTGACAATAGTTTTTGAAGCTCAGAAATATTGTAATGTGTTAATTTTTGCTAAAGAGGATAGTCTGAATTAGTTAATTCATAGAGTATCATTATATGTCATTTTATTAATTAAACCAATAGGAAAGAGGTTTTGTTAGTAGAAAGGATCTTTAGGCTTGCTTTAATGAGTATATAATATTTCATCGTAATTATGCTATTGCTTTTTTACAAGTGGGTGGTGCTAAAATACATGAAAGTAGTTTATTCTCAGTTAATTTAAAATTCACCTTGTACTTCTCTTAATTTACTTAATAAATCCTTTCTCCATAGATAAACTCCCAACACTGCCAAAATATGTTTGAGGTGTTATCCTTCTATTACTGGGGGGTGAGGTACCATATGTTTCATCAAGATATTTGATGTATTCACAGATCTTCCTCTTATCTCCCATTTTACATTTGCTTCCCAAACTTTATTCATTTTGCATCAATATTTTTAAAAATCTCTTTTATTTGTTCTATTAGTGGCATTAAATGAACAAAAGAACAAAGCAGTAGAATTTGATTTTAACTAATTATCTGATCTTGATGCTTTCCAAGTACACAATCAGTACAGAAGTGAAATAGAATAATCATATAGGAATAAATTATTTGAACAAAATTAAGCAAAAATATTGATTTAGAAAACTATACCCATTAATAATATGACATATTCTTATTTTCAAAGGATTGAAAATTAATGGAAGAAATTTTCCTTTCCACTAGCTTCGCAAGAAAGAAATAATCTTCTTTGAATATCCTCCTATAAATCCCACTGCAAATTGTAGTGTGCACAGAACAGGATCATGGTGCCTAATCCTCCTCTTTTCATGGTTTAGTCTGTACAAAGAGCAGAGCTGGAAATTGGATCTTTTGACAGCAGTTACTAAGCAACAGAATTTGGATGTTTTTGGTTAACATCCTAATATATCATGTAGCTGATTTGTTGAAGTTTGTGCATGTATTTGCTGAGAGAAGTAGACACTCCAGAAGTGACCACAGGTCCCTGTGTGGCTGGGCGGGTAGTGTTTGTTGTTATTTTGTTTAATACTCTGTGTCTTTTGGCGCTTGTATCTGTTTGGCATACAAAGGAGGATGGTGCAGAACTTTCCAACCTGGTGACTTTTTATGTTATTAAGAATGCCCTTCTCTGTGGCTCGTGTTATGTGAAAATGTAAGATTTTTTTCCTAAAAAGCGGGGAGAATAAATAAAGGATTTTAAGGTCATTCCAGGAAGCTTTTGTGCTTTGCCAAAAGTTTAGGTCCACTTCCTGAGGCAGTTTCATTAGCAGACAGCTAATGTTTGCTTGGTCTACTCCCAAGTTATTTTTAGAAACTAGAGATTATTACTGATAGCACCAATTTGAATTTGCTCATTTACGTTTTTATATGCTACCAAATATGATT